CTGAGTGAATTGTCATTGATTGATTCATTCAATCGTTCGTTCATTCATTAATTCATTCTAAACTGAAATTTCTCTAAATGACATTTTTTTTTTCATTTCTAAAATGTAATTCATTCATTCATTCATTCATTTACTCTGGATTTAAAATTTATAACTATGTGTTTGTGTGAAATGTCATTTATTTATTCAGTTGTTAATTCATTCATTCTAAACAGAAAATTTCTAAATGACTATTTCTTCGTTTATAAAATGTAAATCATTCATTCATTTTCTTAGATTTTACAATTAACAATTATGTTTAAGTTTAATGTCAGTGATTCATTATTTATTTGTTAATACAATTATTTATTTACTCTCGATTTATAAATTATATTAGAGTTTAAGTAAAATGTTATTCATTCATTCATTCATTCATTCATTCAATAATTCATTAACTGAAATGTTCTGAATAAAATTTTCTTCATTTCAAAAATGTAAATCATTATTCATTCCTTCAAAACTGAAAATTTTCTAAACAACATTTTCTTTATCTGTAAAATGTAATTCATTCATTCATTTATTCATTCATTCATTCATTCATTCATTCATTTAATCATTCATTCATTTTCTCAGATTTTACAATGTATAGTTGTCTTTGAGTAAAATGTTATTAATTCATTCGTTCATTCTAAAACTATTCTAAATTACATTTTTTTCATTTCTAAAATGTCATTTAGACATGTGTTTGTTCTCTTTGGATTTACAGTTTATAGTTATGTGCTTGGGTTAAATGTTAATCATTTATTAATTAATTCTAAACTGAAATATTATTAAATGACATTTTCTTATTTTATAAAATGTAATTAATTAATTCATCCATTTTCTCTGATTTTAAAGTTTACAGTTGTGTCTGAATTAAATGTCAGAGATTCATTATTTATTCCTTCATACAATCATTCATTTGGTTTATAATGTATTATATGTTTGAGAAAAAACATTTTATTTATTCATTCATTCATTCATTCATACTTTTTTCTGGATTTAACATGTATAGTTATGTGTGAGTAAGATGTATTTTATTTATTTTTTTATTTATATGTGTTTTATTTTTTTACTTGGAATTACAATTTATAGTGCATATGTGTCTAAGTTACACTAAATGCCGTTAAAGATGTAATGTTGTTGATGTTTTTATTCATCTTTAAACAGAACAATATGGTCTTTTAACAAAGAAATTGATATTTGATAGAATATTACTGACTTTCAATTACAACAAATGAAAACATTGTCATTTTGACCAATTGTTATTTTCTGAAAAAAACAAAATAATAATAATAATAATAATAATAATAATAATAATAATAATAATAATAATAATAAATGCATTAATAAAATCTCAAAATTATTATATTTAATCTATTTAAAAGAAATGTAATCACACCCATTGTTAATATTAATCTAGTAAATCAAGAACAACTGAGAATTTTTAAGTGGTCCTGTATTTTTTAAGCTGTATGTACATATACATGTTGTATACAGTACCTTTAAATGCATGTACACTCTGAAATAGCATCTAACACAGAAACAAATGTGATGGCACAAAGGCGAAAACATGACATTTAATGCAACCTCATAAATGCATGCATGTCTCTCTGAAGAAAATGACATTTGCAATATGAGGAATAAGGTGAGAATGTGTGTGAATGGCACGCTCTCATTGCTGATAGATTGCCTGGAGACCCAATTAAAGATGCTAACAACAAGGATAAACAATGTTCCTTTTTTCCACTTGAGATCTCAGACCTAAAATAATACAAAACAACAACAACACAAAACCTTCCTGTCCACACAGATATGCAAAAGAATATCTTCTGATAGATGTTTGTATTATTCTAATATTTAACATAATATAATCTGTCAGGGGCGACACGGTGGCTCATTGGTTAGCAGTGTCGCCTCACAGCAAGAAAGTTGCTGGTTTGAGTCCTGGGTGAGTCAGTTGGCATATCTGTGTGAAGTTTGCATGTTCTCCCCATGTTGGCGTGGGTTTCCTCCTCGTGCTCTGATTTCCCCTGTAGTCCAAAGACAAGCGGTAAGGTGAATCAAATAAACTAAACTGGCCGTAGTGTATGTGCGTAAATGAGGGTGTGTGGATGTTTTCCAGTACTGGGTTGCAGCTGGAAGGGCATCCAAGTGTAAAACATATGCTGGTCAAGTTGACAATTCATTCCGCTGTGGAAACCCTTTATGAATAAATGGACTAAGCTGAAGGAAAAGGAATAAATGAATAAATAATCTTTGAGTATTTTAAGATTCACAAAAGCAGCTCCTCTCAAATGTTTTGTCATGTCAGCGTGACCTTCAAGATAATGCCAAATTACACTTTTAAAATAGTCATGCAGCACAATACAGTTACTATATACACAGTATAGCAAGTGCAAACAATGTGTTTTGATTGGAACACAAAATAAGATATTTTGAGGAACGTTGGAAACTGGAAGACATTGACTAATACAGTATTTTTTCTCCTACTGTGGAAGTATGTATACTGTTTTCCTACATTCTTCAAAATATCTTCTTTTATGCTATACAGAGAGAGAGGGGGGGGGGGAGACTTAAAGTTGATGTGAACTGGAAACTTGTATTTCAGTACGTTGATGTATTTCCAACTGAAAAGAATAATTGAGTAAGGACGGGTTTTCTTTTTGAGCATCATTCACTTGTACAGTAGCAAACTAATGGTTGGAGGAGCGTGGTTAGGAATAGTTTGGCTGAAGCAGACAAACTGACATCAACTGAGAAGAACCACCACTCAAAACACAGAAGCAAATGGTCTGATTAAAGATTACCAAAACATTTTGTGTGTGTGTGTGTGTGTGTGTGTGTGTGTGTGTGTGTGTGTGTGTGTGGATTAACTCGCATGGAATAATTGTTCACCGACATAAATAGCAATGTGCGCAAACAAAATAAACATTGTAAATTTAGCAAAACTTTAAGTAAATTCATTCATTCATTTTTGTCTTGGTTTAGCTATACCAAACCTTTCTGAGTTTCTTTCGTCTGCTGAACACACAATACGTTATTTTGAGGAACATTGGAAACTGGTAGACATTGACTAATACAGTATTTTTTCCTCCTAATATGGAAGTTGATGTATACTGTTTTCCAACATTCCTCAAAATTTCTTCTTTGATGTTTTTCATAGAGAGAGAGGGAAGAGAGACTTATAGTCAGTGTAAACTGGTGAGTCAGTGTAAACTGGTGATCCAAATTGAGTAAGGCTTTATTTTTGCACACTGTTCACTTGTAGCAAACTAATGGTAAGAGGGGCGTGGTTAGGAATATTGTGGCTGAAGCAAAAAACTGACGTCAACATAGAAGAATCACAACTCCAAATACAGAAACAAATGGTCAGACTTTGATTAAAGATTACCAAAGCATACTTATTTTGTGCTTTTTTTTTTTCATCAAAGAGCCATTTCTGATTTATTTTGGCAAAATGCATATATAAATGCATATATATGCATATATATATATATAAACAAATTAGATACAAATTAGATCTCTAAATGCCATCTGAAATTTCTCCTAAAATCAGTATTGTTTCCTAGCTTCCTATGTTTATTCAAGTATTTCACTAATAGCAATGAAAAGAAGTTTTTTCGTCACTATAAAAGTAAACTTTCTGAGCCTACACAAAAGAGAAGTTACATGCCCAAGGTTACCATAAAAATGTAAGTTGCAGGCCCTTTACACAAGCATTGTTCGAAACGTTATTTTATTGTAAATCGAGTTCTTATTCATTTTGCTATTAAAAAAAAAAAAAAAAAACAACAATAAAAAGGTAAAGGTAATTGTATTTTGGTCCTAATTTTTATTAAGTTGCCTTAACTAATATGTACTTACACAGGAGTTAATAGTTTGTTACAATGTACTTATTCTGTAAATACATGTATTTACTGTGTTCTTATGCTTGATTAAATGCATGTATGTAATTACATCTGTAATTAACTTTTGTAATTACATTAGTAAATACACTTTTGACCATCCCTTACACCTTAACCCACCCTTAAACAGACCCATGCCACAAAACCTGTCCATAACCCAACCTCTATCCCAACTCAAAAGCACCACAAGTGTTTTCAAATACATTGTAAACACAGTAAGTACATTGTATTTATTTTTTGATGTCAGTACATAGTAGTTAAGGACACTTATTATAAAGTGGGACCTGTATTTTCCATACGAAACTGATTTCTAGTGATGTTTATACATTTTTAAACTTTAAAATATTATTGAAGAGAGACAGCTAGAAAGCCACATGTTTTTGGTCAAAGAGCCACATGTGGCTCCCGAGCCGTTCCCTACCCCTGACCTTAACAATAGCAATGTGCGCAAGCAAAATAAACATTTAGATTTCTCTCAGTCTTGGTGAGTAAACCCTAAAATAAATTCATTTTTTCATTTTCTTTTGGTTTAATTTATCAGGGGTCGCCACAGCAGAATGAACCACCATAAAAGTAAATTATTATTATTATTATTATTATTATTATTATTATTATTATTATTATTATTATTATTATTATTATTATTATTATTGCTGGTATTATTGTTGGTTGACTATCTATTTTAATCACGGTCATTCTGATGATTCCAGTTGACTTGTTTTAGAATGCATTATTATACTGTATGAGACTTTAAGTATTTACTTAGACTAAAGTGATTTTACTTAAATGCATGTTATAACTCACCTGGCATTCCTTTATTCCACTTTCTAATGAGCAACACGACCCACAGTAATTGAACAAGGAAACTGTTTGTAAGTACATGTTATTGATACTAGCCTGCAACATGAGTCATTTAATCCCAGAGAGTAACTGTAACATAAACCCTGTTGCCTAAAATGTACCCCCCAAAAACACAGAAAGTTACCAGTGCACGATCGATCATAGTGATGGAGTGCGCGCTCCCGCTCTCCTGTACTATCGCTAAGGCGTCTCCATGTGCCAATCAGAAGTGGGCGGGACCCGCGTCGGCTGCGGCGCTCCGGAGAGGCAGAGACTCAGGCAGGGGCTCAAGTGCCACTTTCTCAGCATTGTCAGTGCGGGCAGCATCATCTCCTAGCCCGGGTACAGTAACTGCTGCACGCAACAAATATCCTCCGGATCGGGACAGGAGATTCGGGTTTGCTCAATCCATGCGATCCGAGCCCGTCTGACTAAGAGAGAAAGAGAGAGCGAAAGAGAGAGAGAGCACGCGCACCATTCACCTGGATAAGCGGCATCAGCATCAGCACCAGCGCAGGGAGAAAGCGGACGCCAAGCATCGCCACGAGAATATGATGCTCCAACAGCACTTGCTCTTCGTGCTCTACAGCTTCTGTGGGATTGTCATCAAAGGTAAGAAGCTCGCTATGTGTGGCCACAGTCTGATGCCCTCTGGGTGTGGTGGGAGTTGGCAGGGAGAATGAAAATGCCAGTTATCATAAGACCCGCGTTGAATCGCATCAGGGGCTGATGTTTCATAAGTAGCGCGTGTTTTTATTGGATAGGTCATGACTCATGTACAGTAGCCTACGTGTGTTCTGTGGCACGATGAGGATGATGACAGTGCAGATTTGAGTTCGGCGCACATATTTGTGCACGTGCGTGGGAAGTTGTTTGCAGTTATTTCAGTGATGTTTGCCAGTCGTCATCCATCAGTTGAATCTATCAAACTTTAGACGCGGAGTTAATTCAGCGGACGCGCGCTCGTCCCAGATTGATTCCAATGACCCGTTACGCGCAGTTTGTGATTTGGGGATCGTGTTTGTCTAATGATGAACTTTACCAACATTGATTCTTTTCACAGATTGGTTTGCAGTGTGTTCGCAGTTGCGCGCAGGTTGATTAAGGTGTGATTTGATGTGCAACACAAATTGAACTTGGTTTACGGGTGATGGGTGCTTAATGCAAGATCTAATGAATGCCAGCTGGCCAGTGCTTTTTTAAGTCGGACATAGGCACATTTTAAGCGCACAGCACTCTGGTATTTGCAAGATTCTACATCTTGGGGTCGTCGTAGCATAAGATTTCTTTCCGAGACGCGCGGTGTGCTGGGGTAATAATAGCTTATGCATTTATTTACACTATAACAAGAATATACAGAGTGTGTGCAGGTATTTGAGGACGGACAGCTGTAGCTACAAGAGCTCCAGACTGCAGCGAGTCTGTGCGCGCTGCTGTCCCACTTTGGCCACTCTGAATACCGCTAGCGAATCGCGCGCCGCCGCGCCCCACGGGTCACAGGATCTCCCATTACCCCAGCACCTGAGCATTGTTTTCTTTTAGTTCTGCAAGATTCTCTAAATGATGCGTGTAAATAATGGGAATGATAATCATTTGCACAGCATATATAGGTACTGGCACTGCAAGAACATGACTCATTGCTGTTGGACTTTTATTGACTTGCAGTCCATATACATGCCTGTCTTGAGAGATGCAGCTGGTGGCTGCATGAAGAGTCAATATTATGTTACAATATTACTATTGATTATTGATAAAGTAGACATGGCTGGCTATTGTGTAATGCACACTGTGTTGAGGAGACTGGAGGAGTGATGTTGCAGTTTTGTACACATTGTGAATTTATGAGAGTGTTCCACTTCATATGACTCAAACTTTTAAATGATTTTTAAAACATATTTGTGAGCTATAAATTACATATCTGCTGCCTTTTCTTAGACTAATGTTAAGTATATAAAGTGCTAATTGTTAAAAAAAACATACATAAAATTATTTAAAAGTTTAAATAAATTAATACAAATTCGTAGAAAAAACACTGCGTATTGGTATGCAAAAGTAATTTTATGTATAAATATGTTTCATAGTTGTATTGTAGGCAGATAGGGGAGGGTAGTGTTCATCATAAAACATTTAGGTAACAGTAAGCAACATATGTTTTTTCAAACTTTAATTTATTTAAAATAGCCTGTTTAAAACACTACATAAATGTTGTGTGATATATTCATTTTTTGTTTAAATAAAAATAAAAAGTTAAAGGATAATGTCAAACAAAGTAATAACTTAAACTGAAGATGATATAGAATAAATGAAACAGTACACAATATAAGACGCATATAAAACCAAACTCTACTGCAGTTTTTTTTTGTTTTTTTTTGTTTTGATGTTAAAAACCCCAGTTATCAATAATACTGTATGAGCTTGTACATAGACACTAAACTTTACACCTATACTGACATCTTAAAAAAAACAGTCTTTATTCATGGCATCTATCTATATGTAAATTGACAGAGCAAGAAAAACATGTTGATATGAAAAATGTATTTAAAGTAGCATTAATTTAATCCCAAAGGGACACCATCCTCAAAACATTACAGTAATTAAAAATATATCCGCTATCTACACTTTCATCTTAAATGTTACGTTAGATGTGTTGATTTTTAATGTTCTGAACTCATTTCTGCTGCTCTAAAAGCTGCCAAAAAACATGAACATCACACATCTTTTGAAAAATTGTGACCAGATCAGTCCAGAAACGCAGCGTGAGGTAACTCTTGAAAGAGAGAGTGTGCTTCTGTCTTCTCAAAACCTCCTCGCTCACTGTCTGAGATGGATTGTGGATATGTAAATGTTGGCATATGTTAGGTTTGGCAGTGCCTGTGCTGACTACTGATCTCTAGAATTATTCCTGGAACTTGGTGTGGATCAAAACCAGTCATCGACTTTTTTCTTTTTCTTTCTGTCAATCGTCTCTCAGGTGTTTTTGAATTCACTGACAGCGTTTCTTCACTGACGATCTTACATGTGTTTACCGTGAGGAAAAGGTCACTTGATGTGACGTTTCAGTATGTTTTTGATATGTAAATAAAAAGTAATGTGTGGATATTAGGCATGGGACGATAACCGTTTTTAAGGTATACCACGGTTTGGAAAAGTCAAGGTCTTTAAATCTCCAAACATTTCTGCTAAACCATTTCCAAAGTAAGTGTACCATTTTTTATTTATGTTTTTTTTTTTGTTCAGTTTTGGTTTTTTAGGACAACATAATATCCAGCAGAAAATATATCCAAAGATTGTGCTTGAAATTGTAGAGAAATCTGTTTTAGAAACTAATGAAGACAGCAGAAGTCTTTGACTCATTGAAATAATTTTGCCTGACATGTTTACTGTTACAAAATGCTTTAAATGTTTCTTAAAATTTAAAAAGTTTTAGTTTTTTACCTAGACATTTAAAAATAACATATTTTAAAGAAGTAATCACAACACAGTGAAACCGTGATACTTTTATCCAAGAATCAAAATCTTATACCAACCCATGCCTAGTGGATATTAAAGAACCAGTTCATTTCAGATGGTCAGTAATTTAAATTAGGTTTATTTATAAACTACTTTCGAAAGGAGCACACCTTTTTGATTGATAGCAGCTGATTCTCATTAGCTTACGCACAATCCACCAATCAGACGATTCCTAAATCACTATAAATAACCAAAGCATCTTACCTTAGCCATCTTCGTCTTGAAGAATCCCCCCTTCCACCCCTACTCCTCCCGTTTCCTTATCAGGGCAGCACGGAGGTCTAATGATTAGCATCATTGCCTCACAGCATGAATGTGACTGGCTCAGACTTTACCTGGCCAGGTCAACGTTTCTGTGCGGAGTTTGCATGTTCTCCCTGTGTTTGCGTGGGTTTTCCTCGGGCACTCCAGTTTTCTCCCACAGACCACAACATGTAACACAAATAAATCAACACATTAAATCATCATTATAGACAAGCAATGAATTCAGCGAATAATCTCCATAGCCAATTCATAATCAAGCAAGGGAGTTCTCGAGACCTACCTGAGCTCAGACTCCCATCTCGCCTTACAACAGGAGGGAGTCCCCGGCTCAAGGATCTCATAAGCTCAGGGCTCCCTCCCGGGACAGCATGCCAAACATGCTTCATAATCAATAATTGGCAAGGGCGAACTCTTGAATAGCGTGTCAAATCAAAAGTCTGCTGTGAATTTTTTTACAATTGCTTGGATCCAAAAATCCGTTATTTTCAATAGATATTTAACTACTAATTCATCTATAGTAAGATGAAATGGTCAATACTTACATGTATATAATAAATATATCTCAATGTTGCAGTTTACGCCTGACACAAATAGTAGATAGAACAACAAACTGACTAAAATTGCATTACATGACAAGCCCATATAGCCCATATCTACAAGATGTATTTTCAAAATCATTTGCTTTGGAAAACATCTGCTGTCTTCAAAGATTCAATGTACATCTTTAAAAAGCTCTGCTGTTATTCTAAAATCTTAATTCTAAACCTTGAATGTCTTAAGATGGACATTTTGCAGATGGGCAAATGCGCTAATTAATATATAATCCAGATGTAAACACACACTTCAAATACTGTAGGTGTCTCTGCAATATGTTACTAATAATCAATTTCAAAAAATTGTATTTTTTTTTGTGATTTCTTACAGTAAGTATGATCTATGTCATAAAAAACACCAAGCACTGTAAATGGACCAAGACCACTAAAAAGATTGCTCCCAGTTCATCAAACAAACTTTTGATTAACTAAAAATAAACTCAACACTTATATACAAAAAAAAAAGAAAAAAAATGGACATTATATCAAAAGAGTGATCAAGCAAACTTATTCAATGAATGGTAATATCTTGTATTACATTATGTTTTGATGACCTTATCCTGTTGTTATTATGTGCAGTATGTATGTATGTATTTATGTTTGTATGTATGTTTGTATGTATGTATGTATGTATGTATGTATTTACATGTACAGTAGGTGAGAGTTCAATGTGACCATTACCGCCGTGGCTTATACCGCCGCCGCTTTAAATCGGCAAGCATGTGTTTTTAATGTATGACCACAGTTTGTAAATATGCCGCCAGGGGGCACAAAGGAACGGGATGCGAACGGACAGAAATAGCTTATACAGCAGCTGTGAATATGCTTCTGTACTTATGAATGAAGATGAAACGATAAAACAAAGCATTATAATTCCTCCATTAATCATAAAGAAATTGTTAACACAATTTATTATCACTGTAAACTTGTTAAGTGCAATGAGGATTCACTTTGGAAAATAGAATTGAAGAATTCAGTACAAATAAGTAGGCCTAAATAAACAAATAAAGCAGACTTTTAGCCTAAATATAGAGATGTTCAGTGTTTGCTATTTTGATAGGACTAAGACATTAAATAAGTCATTGAATAAGCTTTTTCATTTATGTTTTCATTTACGTTTTTATTTACATTTTCGTTGTTGATTACATTTTACTATCCCATTTGATGTCTCTATTGTACATATTAATAAACAAATAAGGACAAATAAATGAATAATGAAAATAAGCCTAAATAATTATTTATTTA